GTCTCTGTGAGTGGGGCTGTGCTTGCCCTGTTGGTGGGGCGGGGCGGGGTGGGGCGCACGGCCAGGAGATGTAGTCGCCGCTTTGTGTCAGCTGCACGAGCGAGTGTCCTGTGTCTGCCAGTGGGTGAGCCTGTCCCCTCCTCGTTGTCCTGTCATCATCCAGGCTGGTCCTTGGGCCAGCTAGGGCTCCAGAGCCCAGCCTGCAGGATGCTGCCTGGGGTTCCAGCTGCCTCCTTTGCTGTTCAAGCCTTCGGTTCAGGAGGGCAGGAGCCAGGGAGTGGGGAGGGGGCCCAGGTCTGATCAGATGGTAAAGTCTCCTGCTCAAGAGTCAGAAAGAACAGTGGTGGGCCTGGGAGATGGCTGGGCCCCTGGTCAGACACAAGTACTTCGTATCTCAGAGTAGTGGCTCATGATGGGAAGTGGGGCTCTGAGCATCTGGTGGGTCTTAGCTTACCTCCATTCCCACACCTGCCACATGCCAGGCCTGGTCCTTACTGGGCTTTGTAGGGTCTGAGGCTACAAAGGGACAGAGCAGGTAAAGTGAGACCCTGCACAAAGACACCTTCCTCCACCCCACCGTGGAGAACGTAGCTGGAGGAGGAGGAGGACCAGCCCGGGGACTCTCTGTCTTGAGGTTCTGTCACATGGTTAGTAGCATCCAAAGTGGGGCAGCTCACTCATTACCCAGGCAGGTGGGATCCCCTTGTCCAGGCAGCTGGACCTGAACTCCAGTCCTGACTTGGAAGGGAGCCTGTGTCCACTCATTCCCCTGCATCCCTCCAGGCCCTATGCAGTAGCTACCTTTCCTCTTCCCGTCCACCTTTAGCACAGGGCCAGGTGAATTCTAAAGCACACCATTCCACCCTATGTGAATGAGCCCTGGGCTTCAGAAGCAAACAAGACAGGCTCTTGGGCCTTCCCAGTGGGAAGACAGACATTAATCACATGGCCACACACACAATTACAACCTGCCAAGTACAGTATGAAAGAAAACATGGGAATTCAATCTTCACTGTAGATGAGGGATGGCTTCCTGGAAGAAGCCATCTTTAAATGGATCAGATGAATTAAGAGGCAGGAGATAATAGCATAGCAACATTCCAGAAGGGGCTGAGAGCCTGGTTGGTTTCAACGTCTAAGGAGACCAGTGAGGATGTTCACAAAGCTTATGTTGAGAGGTAAGGGTGGCAAGGACATGGCTTTTATCAAACCAGAGCCCTGGGGAACCAGTTTTAAGTTTTAAGCACAAAAGTGATGTGGTTAGGTGTGAATTTATGAAGTGATCTCCCTGTACTGGTAGAGGTTTGAGGAGAGCGCAGGGACAGTGTGAGGGTGTGGATGTGGAATGACCGTGTAGGAGATGATAGTGGGCAGGAGACAGACTCCACGGAGATTTAGAGGTAAAATGGACTGAACTTGGTATGAAGGAGAAAGAGGAGCTATATTGGCATCTGACTCTTCAGTCAGAGGGGTGGGGTAGGGAGGTCAGTGTCATGGGTTGCCTGCTAAGTGAGGAGACATCGTGATGAGCACCGTTAAGGACATACTTTTACTTTTGAAATTGCTAGGAAATGTTGAGGAAGCTAACAGTGTATGATTGAACTGAAGACAAGGCCACGTTGGAAGGACATGGAGAAGAGAAAAGGGCTCTTTTCTCAAGTGTAGAGGAACTCAGCATTCAAAGCCTGAGAAGGTGGCCAGACAAGGTGACAGAGAACAGCCTGCAAATAGAAAATGGATGTCAGAGGTTGAGGAATATTTTTCCAGGGAGGACTGACCAGGGTCCAGTGCTTTAAGAAGACCTGGGAGACAGACCAGTCTCTTGCTGGAGGTCACTGGTGGCATCCATGAAACCTTGGTGAGGCAGAATCCAGGAGGGTGGGAGCAATGAGGGATGGTCAACAATCTTCAAAGGAATTTAGCTGTAAAGAAGATACAAGGTAGAGGAGGGTGGGGAGGGTTTTGACAGCTGTGGGGAAGAACATGTGCCTTAGGACCCCAACTGAATACTGAGAGGGAGAGAGGCAGGAGAGCCACAGGGAAAGGGTGACTGGTAGAAGATGGAACCCTCAGATGAGCTGTTCTGGAATCCAAAGCACAGGGAGAGAGGGCCTGTCCAGATAGAACTGCAGAGGCAAGTACTACCAGTGACGTGCTGGTAACTACCAGGTCTAGACAGGTGGGGTGGGGTGGGGCTCTACACTGTGTCTGCAGGAATCCTGGACATATTGGTGCTAATTGTAGTGGTCGTAAATACACTCACCTTGGACGGTTTCAAGCTACCAAAGGCTACACTGAATTGGGTGGGGGAAGGTTGGAGTTGAATTGGCTCTGTGGGTCCAAACAGGCTCCATTACACTGATAACGCCCGGCTCAGAAACCTGCAATGGTGCCCATGGCCATGGATCACAAAAGGGGTCAGGCAGGCAAGAGACCAGCATTGGACCAGGAGTGAAGGAGCTGCAGCATCCAGCTGATCTCCCTCTCCCCTCTTTCTCCCGTTCTGTGCTGGCCACGCCACAAACCAGCAAGACAGTCACCATATGAAGAAACTCAGAGACTTAGTGCCCAGAAATGGAGCAGGGGACTAGATACACCTGCCAGTTGGTGTTGAGCCAGTACGCACAGGCACAGGAGGGCTAGGGTAGCTTCTTGGGCCCTGGGTGGAGTGGGAGGGTGTGCCTGGTGAAGGAAGGGCATGGCCTGTAAGGTGGTGAGGCGTGACAGCCTGCTAGGATGTGGAATTAGAGGGCCTGAAGCATGACTGACACTCTGGGTGTACCGCTGTAGGGTGAGCCCTGAACTGCTAACCACAAGGTCAGAAGTTCAAACCCACCAGCCGCTCCTTGGAAACTCTATTTTGTTGTTAAATGCTGTCAAGTCGGTTCTGACTCAGCAGAAATCTTATATAGGAATTCCAAGTCAGCTTTGTGGCTGAGTGCTAATCCTACAGTGTGAGTCAGAACCGACTTAATGGCACTTAACAAGTGTGACTGGGATCCCCAGTATGGCCCTGTAGGATAAGCAAGATTGACAGTTCAAATCCACCAGCCACGCTAGGAAATACTTACAGCATAGAGTCAGAATCAACTTCATGATACACAACAAGTGTGTCTGGAGCTAAGGTGCTGAGGGGTGTGGTTTGGGAACAAGTAAGGCTGGAGAGGCAGCCAGGCCCAGATTTTGTAAGCCCTACTGAGGGGTGCTAACTAACTTGAGAAGACCAGAAACAATTGAAGGGTTGACAGAAGAGTAACATGGTTAAGATCTATGTTTTAGAAAGATTTTGGCTCCCTCTGGCCTGGTGGGGGTTCAAGAATAGAGGCAGGGAGAGGGCAGGGAGGCTGTAGTTGTCCAGGTAAGAAGTATTTGATGGTGGACTGGATTGGGAAGCATGGCTGATGTTTTACTGAGCCCTCACTGTCTACCAGGCCCTGTGCTAAGCACTTTACACTATTATCTCAGGGCTTCATACTGCTTCAAAACAGTTCAATCATGGCCAACAAAACAAAATGGGTACAGGCCTGAATTTCTAAAATTTGGGTGAAGTGGAATGACAACTGGAATGGGGGAAATTATAGGCCAAAGCGCTGAGATGGAAGACTTGGAAGAGGCCTAGTGAGCCTGGTCTGGGAGGTTGGGTTATTGCCAGGCAAGACACATATTCAAAGTGGCATAGATGCCACCATCTTTAAGCAAAACACTTGTTTCTGACTCTGCCAGCAAGAGATCAGGTTACCATGCAACACATACACACTGCCCTTGGATAAGAAAAGTTTTTAGCAGGAAGATAAAAGTTTTCAGCAGGACATTGACCTGTGATTTTTCCCTTTCCAGTTACTAATTATTGTTCTGGTTCACCCACATTTTACAAATTTATGTTTCACCTTATCAGCCATGCCTGAACTGGGAAGAGCTCATTTGAAGCTCTTGGAGTCATGTACTATGATTATCCCCAATCTACAGATAAGGAAACAAGCTCCCAGAGATTAAAGATCAAGATAACGTAATATGAAAGTGTCCAGAACGAATTTAAGAGGTTGAGTGGGGGCTGCAGAAGAGTTTGTATGTATTGAGTCTGGGGGCCTTTGTGACACAAGCTAATGATCCCAGAAGGTTAGGAATCGGCAAATCAATGCTTTTTGAAGCATGGTCCGGGGAGCATGTGGAAAATGAGGGGAGAAATGAGCCCTGAGAAAGCTGTAGACACACCTGGGCCGCGGGGCCTCCCCGGCAACTCCATGGCCCGCGGGCCATAGCGGCCACTGCGGTGGTGCACAGGCGGCCACTGCCTGCAGCCAGTCGAGGCAGGTGGCCCGGCCCCAGACAAGGAACGTGAGGCGCCGGAGGCACAGGCGCAACATCGACGCGCTGCTGGCTGCTGCTGGGTGTCAGTGAGAGCCGCAATCAACCTTCGTCAAGCAGATGCGCGTCATCCGCAGCCGCGCGTTCCACCGGAAGGCGCTGCTTGAGTTTCGGGCCACCGTCTTCGGCCACGTCCTCAAGAATTCGAGGGTACTTGTGGACACCCAAGACACGCTGGCCACCCCTTGGCAGCACTCTGAGAGTGAGAACAAAGCCCCTAGAAACGACCACCTTCCAGCTGTACGTCCCCACCCTCAGGGCCCTCTGGAAGGACTCTGGCATTTGGGAGGCGTTCAGCTTCTTCAGCGAGGTCCAGCTGGGCAAGTACTTCCTGGCTAACCTGGACGGAATCGGATCGGTCAGCTGAATTACTTTCCTAGTAAGCAAGGCATCCTGCAGGCCAGGAAGGCAACCAGGGGTATTGTGAAACACGACTTCATCATTAAGAAGATCCCCTTCATGATGGTGGGCGTGGGCAGCCAGTGGTCCCAGCGCCAGAAGCGATACGAGTGCTTTGATGGGATCACATTGATCCTGTTCATGGTGTTGTGCAGCAAGTAGAGCATCTGCGCACCAACCAGCTCTGTCAGCGCCTCCACCATCCTGTTTCTCAACAAGACCGAGCTGTTGGTGAGATGGTGAAGAACATCAGCATCTGGAAGCACTTCCTCGACTTCAGGGCGTCCCCCGGGAGGACTGCTTCGGTATATGTGTGTGTGAGGGGGGTACACACCCATACTTGCTCTTCAGTAGTCAAATGCCCACCTGATGGCCTTGCAGACGGCTTCTCTAACCCCCAAGTCTTCCAGGAACCGGGTCTTGCGAGTCTGTAGGAGACCCAGCAATGCCCCAAGCTCAGAGCGCATGCGCGAGCTTCCCGCTCCAGCCTGAGGGTTCTAGTGAGCAACCGTCTCTTTAAAACTCTGGTGCCGAATTCCTGAGACATTTGTCTAGCCAAGCAGCTGGACAGGGACTTGCAGGTCCCTTGCTTTCCACAGAGCCACCCAGCACACAGCCTCTCCCAGCGTGCACATAGCGCACTGTCCCCTCTTTCCCATGGCCACGTGGCACAACCAAACCAAACCCAAAGGCCTTGCATATGGCTTTCCAGCCGCACTTGCAGCATCTCCACACTGTTTCTGAGGGGTGTGTCCGAGAGCTGACCCAGCAGCTGACCCTCCGGAAAGCCCACAACAGGCTCTGGAAAAATCCAAGTCCCTCCAAACTGCAACCTGGCCGTTAACCTCCGAACAGCCGGCTACCCTAGTTAGCTCTCCAGCAAAGCCACCTCTCCTCTGGGGTTGGGCTAGCCTTCTACTGCCAAGCACACGCAGCACACACTACACACATTCTCACACACTACACATTCACATTGTTGTTGTTATGTGCTGTGGAGTCGGTTCCGACTCATAGCGACCCTGTACAGGGTTTCCGAGGCTGTCAATCTTTACGGGAGCAGAAAGCCTCATCTTTCTCCCTCGAAACAGCTGGTAGTTTCGAACTGCTGACCTTGTGGTTCCCAGCCCGATTCGTAACCACTATAATACTAGAGCTCATACACACTGCATATCCAACACCACATGCAAACACAGGACGTACACACACACACCACACACAACACCACACATACCTTACATACACACAGCAAGCAAACATGGACACACGTCATTGACTGAAGCCGCCAAGGGGACCAGACAAAGCTCAACCTGCTTGCCCAGGTGCCTCAGTGTGTCTGACCCACAATGCATTCCAAACAAATCCCCACCCAGTGCCACACTACTGAAAAGTCTGCCTGGGGTGCTTGGGGACTTTTCCTACCATTTATTAAAAAAAGGTTTTTCCTGTAACCGGCTCCAGAATGTCATTGTGGCTTTACATCTACTCCTAGACCCAGTGCCCAGACCACACCTGAACCCCAGGTCCCTCTGGCTTCCCCCTCCCACTTCATGTTAATCTCGTGGCCAATGCCAGCCCAAAAGCAGGAAGAGAAAGTCCTTGATTGTAAGGAGTCCTATTGGCACAGTGATTAAGCATTGACTGAAAGGTTGGCACTTGACCCCCACCAGCCATACTGCAGAAGAAAGACGTGGCAATCTGCTTGTGTAAAGAGGACAGCCTTGGGAACCCGATGGGACAATTCTACAAGGTCACTTTGGATTGGATTCGACTCTACGGCTGTGAGTTTGGTTTTGGGGTTCTAATCAGGACAGCACAGGATATGGTTCCCAGGGGCGTGTCAACATGCTCTGGGGTTTTGTCTCTTTCTGGCTGGGAAAGAACAGTTGCTGTCTTTGTAAGACTCCCTGGGACTCTTTGGGAAGGGTCAGGGTCTAACCCAGATAGATTGGCAGTGGTGGCCATGTCTGGGTCTCAGACCCCAGTGGGGTAGGGACTATTGCCTGATGTGTTTTCATGTTCAGTAGGTCAGGGAGCAGAGCTCCTTCTGAGCCCACCTGGGGATCAGGAGTGTGGAGCAGACTCTCCAGCAAGCACCTTTGCATAGTTACACCCAATTGGCAGCTCTTGAAAAATCAGAAACGGACACAGTTGGATAGATCTGGTCTTGGATTTAACAGAGTCATCCAAGACACAGAGGAGAAGACAGAAGCTTGCAGATGGGGTCTTCAGACCAGCCTCCTTTGACCCTGGGCTCCCCCACTGAGCCTCTTAGCTCCACTGAACCCAGACTTTCTACCTCCTGTGACCCCGAGGTTTATTGTAGTAGGACCCAGAGTTCTTCCCAAGTTAACCTACAATCACATACTTTTCTGCCCAAAGACGGAGGCATTTCGGTCTCGAAAGCCTTAGGCATTTGTATTATTATAATTTTTTAAAATTAACTGTTATTCCTTTTTTTTTTTTTTTCTTGCGATGTAGGAGAAGCAGGAGGTCGCTTGTATCTACTATTACAAAAAGAAAAGAAAGGTAACAATAAACTTCCTCAAAAAAAACACAAAAACTTCATTTCAATGAAAATATTTGAAAGAGAAAATGTCTTATCACTGAAAAGCTTTATATTAGAAAATTATCAATCATATTAAAGTAGAGAAATAATATACAACTATTAATCTCTTTCTGTCCAAAAAAATGAGGAAAATTCAAAATTCTTGGAAATCATTTGTCCAGTAGACTAATAGACTGTGGGAATATCAGTCTCCATGCCCCTGAGAGCAGAACTAGATGGTGCCCGACTACTGCAACCAACTGCTCTGATGGGGATCCCATCGGAAGGTCTTGGATAGAATAGGAGAAAAGGTGAAACAAAACTCAAAATCATAAAAGACACTAGGCTTACTGCTCAGGGACTGGTGGAACCCTGACACTGTGGCCCTTGGTCACCCTTTTGGTTTGGAACTGAACTCCCTCTCGTGCCCCACGGCTCAATTTCCAGCTAAGCAAACTGGTTTGCAGAGGAGATAGCACTAGAGAGGGGTCAACACTAGAGAGGGGACATTAAAGGGGGGACCACACTAGTGAGGTACCCACACCATAGAAGGATCACAGATGGGGGATAAAGTGGAAAGACGGCCAGAGCCCAGGCGCAGTGGCATGCTGTCTGTCAGTCGATTCTGACCCTTGGAGGAATGTACTATCATTATCCCCATTTCACAGATAAGGAACAACTGGTAGATTTGAACTGCTGACCTTATGGTTAGCAGCTGAATACATAACTCACTATACCACCAGGCCTCCTTAGGTGAGGGAGGTGATGGTGTGCCTTGAAGTCGGTTTGGACTCATAGTGACCCCTCTATAACATTTCCAAAGCTGTAAATCTTGACAGGAACAGAAAGCCTCATCTTTCTCACACGGAGTGACTGGTCGTGGATTTGAACTGATGACCTTGGGGTTAGCTGCCCAACACATAACCACATCACCATCAGGGTTCCTTAGGTGAGGGGAAGGTGTTGTAAAGTGTAGGGTTTTCAAGGAATGAATGGGTGAACTTGGCAGTTCAAACCAACCTTGTGATTCAGTGTTTATCCTACCCACACGCTGTTGTTAATTGCCCTTGAGTCAATTCCAACTCGGTGACCCTGTTTAGGGTTTCCAAGGAGCAGCTTGCAAGTTTGAACCGCCAACCTTCTGGTTCAAACTGACATGTTGGCTTATCCTACAATGCCACACCAGGACTCCACTGCATAATGGGGGCCTAAATCAGCATGTAGGTTTCGGGGTTGGAGCCTGAAGTCAGGCCTGAAAGGAACAGGATGTGAGGGCTTGAGGGAGGTGGAGGAGGAAACAGTGCCAAAACTCAGCCCTGCTCCTCCCTGCCTGGCTAGGCCCCAGGAGCCCCTCCCTGGCCTCCCAGCTGCAGATTCACCCTGGGACCTGGGATGAGTTCCTTCCACAATGTTGTGGGCCATGGGTCCAGATTCTTTGCTCTGCCTTTTCCTCCTGCTTCAGGTCGCCCCCAGCCCTGAGGGGGCTCGCCCTCATCAGCGCAGGTTTGAGTACAAACTCAGCTTCAAAGGACCAAAGCTGGCATTGCCTGGGGCTGGAATACCCTTCTGGAGCCATCATGGAGGTGAGGAGCAGGGCTGGGGGCCAGCCATGCCCAGGGTCCCTCTGAGTGCTGGAAGGGCTGAGCATTCCTGGATGTCTGTGACTTGGTGGGGAGTGGGCCAGCCAGAGCCAACTTGCACCCCGAGTGGGGCCTTGGGACAGGCAGTGCTGGGGGCCCCTGCACCCAGATGGACCAGGACCCCTTCCAGACTTAACGCTGGCTCGACACACCCTAGCTCCACTCCCACCTGCCAACCTGTTTATCTTCTTGGCTATTCCTCTATACTAGGGTTTTTCAATCCTTTTGTCTTGCCTTGGACCCCCTTCTTCTTTTTCTGCCTCTTGGACTGGTAAACGCGCGTGCACACACACACACACACACACACACACACAACATTCAGGCCCAGACACACAAGTCAACTTGGATCAACACAAATACCCACTCTCCTGGCTTCATCCTGTTGGGCCTGTGGGTGTACTAGAGAACTGGGGCCACTGAGAGGGGGGCATCCTCATTTCCTGCTCCTTAGCCAGAAGGCACCAGACCTTTCTTTGTATGTATGCTGGGACCAAAGCAGGCATGAAAACTTACTAGGTCATAAGTCTGTTTTCTGGATCTTACAAACCCAGATCCACAAACAATCTGTCTTCTACCTGATTTTGTTCCAAAAAGGATCTGTGGAGACTTATAAGATCTAGAAAATAGAGAACTTAACAGAGGAGAAGGGACCCAGGTGATGCAGTGGTTAAAGTGCTCAGCTGCCAACCAAAGGGTTGGCAGTTCAAACCCACCAGCTGCTCCATGGGAGAACGATGTGGCAGTCTGCTTCTGTAAAGATTACAGCCTTGGAAGCCCTATGGGGGCAGTTCTGCTCTGTCCAATAGGGTCACTAAGGAGCTCTGGTAGCATAGTGGTTACCAGTCAGACTTCTAACCTCAAGATCAGCAGTTCAAAACGACCAGCCTTTCCGTGGGAGGAAGATGAGGCTTTATGCTCCCATAAAGACTTACAGCCTTGGAAACTCTACACAGGGTCACTGTGAGTCGGAACTGACTCCACGGCACATAACCACCACCACCATAAGGTCACTATGAGCTGGAATTAACTGGTGGGCCATCGGTTTATCATAGGAGTGAATGAGAAGAATCAGGGTTAGGTTTGGGGCATGAAATGAGTTTTAAGAATGCAGTTTATTGCCAAAAATATAAGCTGCAAAATCTGCCCACCGTCATGGATTTCATTTAGAGCTCCCTAGCAAGCAAAGCAAAGCAAAGAAAAACCAGATGGGTTATGTATTTCTATGGCTCCATTGGATAAGCACTGGACTGAGAACCACAGGTCAGCAGTTCAAGCCCATCAGCCACTCAGCAGGAGAAAGACAGACTTTCCTGCTCCAGCAAATGGGATGGGCTCCACAGCGCTTAAAACAACAATATCTACAAGATCCAGAGAAATGGCAGGATTCCTGACTGAAACCAGACACCATGTTGTTGTTGTTGTGAAGTGCTGCAAAGTTGGTTCCAACTCATGGCGACCCTGTATAGGGTTTCTAAGGAGCAGCTGATGGGTTTGAACTGCTGCTCTTGTGGTTCAAACTGACCTTGCGGTCCAGTGCTTATTCCACAGTGCCACACCGGGACTCCAGAATACCAAGAGAAGGCCCTGAAGGATGATGGACCCAGCAGGATCTTTTGTTCAAACCCACCAGCTGTTCCTTAGAAACCTTATACAGGGTTGCTATGAGTGGTCGCCACCGGGGCACTTAAGACACTTAACAACAACCACTACCTTCACAAGAGGTACAAGAGGTAAACAAAGCACTAGGTTGTTTCTCATTACATCAAGCCAGGCCGTGCCACTTGTGTCTCTGGGCCTTGCCAAACCCAGTACTCACGGACCGTATACAGGAGGTGGGTCCCATTCTCCAAAACCACCCAGTGATACGCTCATGTGTCTTCTCTCACCCCCTGGTGCTGCTCTGGGCTCAGTTCTGTCTGGGCCCCAGGGACACAGGACTGAATTAGACTTGAGGAACCTGCAGTCTGGGAGAAGTCCCACAGATAATTCACATATGCTGAATGCATAGTGTGGTAAACTCAGATACCCCTCATCTCCTGCAAGTCTCATAGGAGACAATGGTGGTTCCCAGAGCAACCAAGGTTTTTTTCTTGTCATCTCTGAGCCTCCCTGCCCTAACACTGGTCTTTGTAAAGCAAACAAGCTGGATTAACAGTCTCCGGAAAGTCCTGGTGGAGCCCTGGGCCTATGCCAAGTTCCAAGCTGGCAGGTTGGAGAGGTAGGGAGTCAGTTGGGCTGAGGCCTCTGATCTCCCTTCCCTTGCCTCTGGCCAGCCTGCCTCAGTTTCTTGCTCCTTTCCTTTCTCCCCCACCCTCACTTCTTCAGGGCTTATTCTCACATGTGTCCCTCCTTCATCCTGTCTTCTCAGTCCTCCTAGTTCCATACCTTTGTTCCCATGCTTTCCTCACCTTGGACTATCTCCTGGGTCTCCTCTCCCAGGAAGTCCCTGCTTCATCAGGCCACACTGAAGTAGCTAGCCCTCAAAGCTTCCACAGCTTTGAATCCTGAGCCACCACGTGGCTCTTCTCTGATAAAATGTTCTTTCCTGCTCTGTGGTCTCAGGCAAGTCTTCACTCAGAGCCTTGGCTTCCTCAGCTGAAGAACAGAGAGTTAGACATTAATCTCTCCTCTGGTAGAAAAGCCTGTCTTCTGAGTCAAATGGAGCTCAGTGCCAATTCTCTTCCTTAGTTTTTCTCATTTGTAAAATGGGGTTGCATAAAAACAGACTGCACAGATGTTGGGAGGTCAAGTGCTCAGCATGGGGCTGGCCTTCCTTGTCCTCCTCTGGCAAAGGCCCCTCAGCTGGGCTGGGCTAGGCTCCGATTCCATTTCTCCAAGGGATCTCTCTCTACATTTGACCAACCGGCCTGTGATTTTATGGCTGACCTTGGTGTGACCTGCTTCTCCAACGCAGGTCATTGAGAGAGGATGATGGAAGTCTGGGTGGGGAGACAGGAACTGAGCTGCCATGGTCCACAGATGCCATCCCAGGCTTGGAGGAAGTGCGGCTGGCTCCATCCATGCGGAACAGAAGTGGTGCTGTGTGGAGCAAGGCCTCTGTCCCCTTCTCCTCGTGGGAGGTGGAGATGAAGATGAGGGTGACTGGGCCAGGGCGCCTGGGTGCCCAGGGCATGGTGAGTGGTCCCCATTGAGACCCAGCAAAGGGGTGGGTGGTGAGTCCTACTCTGGTGGGTCCTGGGGCTCCAGGGTCTTGCAGGGACCCTGAGCTGTTGAGCTGGGGACCTGCAGGCCGTGTGGTACACTCAGGACAGAGGCCAAGTAGGCTCTGTCCTGGAGGGACTGGACTCGTGGAATGGCATCGGGATCCTCTTCGACTCCTCAGTTGAGGACACCCAGGTGAGTAGCGGTCTTCTACCCGCCCACCTACCCATGCCCTTCTCCCTTTTCCTGTGCCCATGGCTCAGGCTGCTGTCAACTCCCACACAGAACAGTCCTGTAATTCGTGTGCTGGTCAGTGATGGGCACAGCCCACTTGGGTAAGACTTGTCTGGACTGACCCCATCCCTCCCTACCCTACCCCTAGGCTAGGAGATGTTCAGCAACTGCCCGACCCCTCTACCTGTGCCCTGCCCCAGACCCAGATGGGAAACTCAGCTCTCCTGAGGCCAGGGTCCTTGCCTGCTCTCCTGCCCTTAGCCCCTCCCACTAGGTCTCAGCTGAACCCCTGGGGCCCCAGGACCCAAATGTTCACTTGCTCTTCTCTGGAATTGAGGTCTCATTCATTTACCCCAGCAGTCCCAGGTGTGATGTGACCAAGGCTGACACCTTACAAGGCATGTTTTTATTCTCATTAGCAATTCTCATCCCCAACACCTTTGCTAAATGGGTATTATTAGGACCCATTTACAGCTGAGGTCATTGAGGCCCAGAAAGCTGAAGTGATTGGACTGAGCCTTGGGCCCAGACTTGCCTGTGGAGGGGCCATGCCCTTGCCCTGCCCACTGCTTCTTCCCTTTCTTCCAGATGACGTGGCCTTCTCACCCTCAGTCGCTGGGCCAGTTTGTCAGTGTCTCTCAGCAAACATCCCTCAGCTCGTAACAATTAGAGTAATTGCTAACATTTATGGAGCTGAACTGAAGTGTGCCAGCCTAGCGAACACTTCACACTCATCATCTTAGTTAATTTAGCCCTCATAACAATGTTACAAGGTAGTTGGGATTATTATTCTTATTTAAAAGATGGGGAAGCTGGGGTTTGGGAACACACCCAGGGTCACACAGCTAGGAATGCAAAATGTGGTGGCTGCTCTGGGGCTGGCTTTTTCCTGGCTCTGTGCGACCCCTTCTGGCCAAGGGTCGCAGTGACTGGTGCCTTCTGGATTCTGTGGACCTCAGGACCACTCTTCTTGGCCCAACACTTTTCTCCCAACTCCCCAGAACCTCTGCTGCACTAGCCACGTGGGGGAGGTGAGCTGGTCATGTTGGTCTTGGCTGTGCCTCATGTTGTCTGGCCTGTGTGCATTTGCTGCAGCCTGAGCCCCTAGCAGAGGGAAAGGGAAGAGAAGCCCCATCTAGAAGTGCAAAGGGACTTGGAGTTGAAGGAAACAGAAAACAAGAGTGGAATGGGGTGGTGGGCCTGGGGAAGTTGAGGGGAAAGCTCCCCACTACCACAAGGAAGCCCTTGCCCCCTTCTTCTTCTGTAAACCCCAAGTCCCACTGCTCTGAAAGACAGGGCTTGCTTTCCTGTTCCCTCTTCTGCTAAAGGAACAGACAATAGCAGGGAAGATTCAAGCTAGACAACAGGAAGTATGTTCTATACCAAATCACACTAGAGGAAAAGGGAGACATCGCAGGTCTGGGCAGAGTGGTCTCTGTGACTGCCCCTCCTGGCCAGGTCTTGGGTCCTATGTGGCCCCATTGGATTCTGAATATCCACAGGGTTGAAGCCAACCAGGTACTGGGCTCCTGCCACCGAGACTTCCGGAACCGACCATACCCCTTTAGAGCCCGGATCACTTACTGGGGGCAGAGGCTGCGTGTGAGTCACCCCTCCTGCCTTTTTGGCTCTTCCCAGTGGTGAGTGCAGATTATGGGACCTCCAAGGAGCAGAGTAGTGTGTGAGTGTCCATGACCTCAGGAGACGTGTCTGTGACACCACATGATACGGGACCCTGGCATACATAGGCTAACACCCACGTGGGATCCTTATACTGTGAGGGCTGACATGGGCCCAGGTGTGTGAACTCTCCCCCCGCCCCCCAAGCTATTCTGCTCTCCATCCAGGAGCAGGGAGTCAGAGGTGGGGTCAGGAGAGAAGAGGGCACTCTTTGGAGGAGGGGCTCACTCCCTGTACACCCTCAGGTGTCCTTGAACCGTGGCCTCACTCCCAGTGATCCAGAGGAAGTCTGTGTCAATGTGGGGCCCCTACTTTTGGCCCCTGGAGGTTTCTTTGGCATCTCAGCAGCCACCAGCACCCTTGCAGGTGAGGTCCTGCAGGGCAGGTAAGTGCAGAGGGGGCGGTGCTTCCGCATCCTGAGCATACCTTCTAAGGAGCACTGGGGGGTAGAGTCAGCCACTCCTTGCTCTGTGTAACTCAGATCCGCTCTGGGGCTCTGTTACCTTTGGTAGGGAGGCATCTTCTTTGCAGTGTTGTTTAAAGTCTCAAATGAGATAAAACACTAGAAGCTTTTATGCCAGTGCTGGCCCATAAGCATCCCTAACTGGGAGCCGAGGGGGTGGGAGGTGGGAGGCAGGTGAAAGAGGAACATCATTTAGGGAAATGGATCAGAGGGATGTGATCCAATGGGGAGCCATGGAAGGCTTTTAAGGAGGAGAGTGAGTGGCATGGTCAGAATCGTTCCAGGAAAGTGGCTATTGTGTTGTATAGTTGCGTCTGCCAGGAGCAGCCAGGCTCTGGTCTGTTGCCATGGCTCTAGCCCAGCATATTAAGTGACTGTCCAGTTTGCCTACTCACTGGGGAACAACCTCTGACTGAAGGGTGGCGGGGTCAATCCTCACAGTCCACCACCTATCTACTTGTCTGACTTCTCGCACCTTCCCTGAGAAATGAACAAACAAGGTTTTAAGAAGCTGTTCAAGGTTGCCCGATCTCTCATCTCCATGGGTTATGAAAGGCTCTGGGCTGAGTGGGCTGCTGAGGTCTTACCTCCCTTTCTCCATCCCCCACTCCAGATGACCATGATGTCTTGTCCTTCCTGACTTTCAGCCTGAGGGAGCCAGGTTCAGAGGTGATACCAGCCCCGGGCCTGCTCCTGAGGGAAGTTTGGGGGGCTAGGCAGCCTAGGGGCCCTTCCATGCTAACCCTGCATGCTCAGGCCTGTCTGTGCACCCATATTCCACCCTTCTTGGAGCTCTGCCAGGCCTCGTGTTAGGCAGGCAGCAGAGCCAGGACCTCTGTGGTTAGCTGGGTGTCAGCACTGGGTGTGGAAAGGAGCAGGGGGCTGAAGGGGCATGGAGGAGGGTCCTAACCCAGCCAGAGGAGCGGAAATGCTGCCTAGAGGAGTGGAGTTGGAGATGCAGCAGGAGCTAGCTGGGCAGAACACACACAAAGGCCTGACGCCGGAGCAAGCATGCTGCAGACTGGATTGCAGGGAAGGGTACAGGGGTCAGCAGTGGACTGAGGGCTTGGGGCTGGAAACTGCAGGAAAGAACCAAGACTCTTCCCTGACTGGGGTGAATGTGCAGTCAGGGAGGGACAAGGACTTGTAAGAGGGTTCCCCTCACCCTCAAACAGCCTGAGCTTTTGTCTCCCTCCTCCAGGCTCCCCCAGAGCCCTTCCTAGAGATGGAGCAGCTCCGCCTGGGGAAGCAGCTGGAAGAGCTGCGGACAAGGCTGGCACTGGGCACCAGGGGGGACATAATGTTGAAGACAGACTCTGAAGTCCAAGAAGGAGGTAGGGACCCAGGAAGCTAACAGGTGGAGTGGGGCACATTTCAATGTCCCAAGATCCTTCTCCCTTAAAACTAGAGATCCGTTAACCAACGTAGATTTGGAGGCCTGAGCAGGCCATATCTGAGCAGCACCCAGAGCCCATGTGTCCTGCCTATCCCCACCCCACCACCCAGACACATCTGTCCATCCAAGTGAGGGACTTGGAGGCAGGAGCTGTATCTTCCTGGTTCCCATCTCCAAGAAATTCCCCAAGACAGCCCAGTTACCCTACCCCAGAAGGCTGCTGGTTCCAACCCTGTCACACCTTCAGGGGAAAAGCGCTTTGACCTGGAGGAGACGCTTGGCAGGCACAGTCAGATCCTACGGGCTCTCCGGGACCTCTCTGAGCAGTTGGCCCAAGCTGAGAGGCGATGGAAGAAGCAGACGGGGGCCTCAGGTGGGGCCAGACCTGGGGGAGGCTGGGTGAGTGGCCCCTTGGGCATCCAAACCCCCACCCTATAGGCCTGAGAAGGTAGCTCTGGGTCTGAGAGTTCCATCAGATTTCTTCCTTCCAAAAAGAAGAGCAAGCGCTGCAGTCTGGAGCTTGTCTCTGCAAGGTCTGGAGGGAAGGGAGGAATGGAGAAGGCTTCGGTGCCAGGTTGGTGTGGACCCGCCAGGATGGAGGGTGGCAGGAGGCATCTCTGTACAGAAAATGCCTACAGAGCCCCCATGACTGGGGGGCTGCGTTGAGGAGATGCCCAGTATCTGGACTCTGGTCTATAGTCAAAGGACAGCAATAGACTGGGCTGCTAATTTGCATGGAGCTTCCCATACGATTTGTATCTGGCTTGCTTAATGCTCAGATGCACCCAAATCCTCATTTCATCTCTCCTCCAGGAAGTCATGTCCCATAGCATGAGCTGCTCATGGTACATAGGGGTGGAAGAAGTCAGTGACTCATGGCCTTTGCTGAACAGCTCAAGGTTTAATCTTGGTCCTCTGGCCAGAGCAGCTTAAGCTGGGCTGCTGGAGTGGAGAACTGGGGAGGTCTCACTGAACCTGTCTCCAAGTCCTGGATGCCCCCAGCCAGATCCCATCCTCCTCAGGGAGGGGCAGACACTTTTCTGGGTCACCCAGAAAGACGAGGGTCCAAGCATTGGGAAATGAGTTACACTGGCTCCCAGTGTAGGCTGTGCCCTGGGACTGGGGGAAGGAGAGAGCTGGGCTCAGTCTCTGCTTCCTTCAGGGGTTACAGCCACTTCTAGAAAGGGAAGGAGCTGTAAGAAAGCCCAGGAGTGGACACTATGGTGCTGGGGGTGGATGGCCACCCTCAGGGGAGGGGTTTGCAAGAAAAGAAAATCCAGAAGGCCAAATGGATGTGGGTCAGGTAAAGTCAATGTGCCCAAGGCCAGGAGGACTCAGATACTCTGGTAAGGCTACGTGTTAAGAAGTGGGCTACAGTGTCCCTGGGGGAGAGAAGGACTGGGCCCTGGGCCCTGGACCCTAGAGAAGAGGTTGACTTTCCTACAGGACTCTGCTAAGGTCAGTGCCTTGCTCCTTGGGCAGCAGACTCTTCTCCAGGACCTGCAAGAGATGAGGTAAGGGCACAGGGCAAAGAGGGCATTCTGGAGGAGAGAAAACTTGCCCTTTACTCCCTCATCATTTCCTGAGCACCAAGGGAGGGGCTGTAGGCAAAGCTAGGTTTGTTTCAATTAACCTGAATTTATTTGAATCCAGTTTAAGGTTTTGAAAGTCTTAGTTCAAAACCAAGTCTGCTTGGGATCCCTCCTGAAGGGCTCATCAGACATTCTGAGCCAACACCCACTGCTGTCGAGTAGATTTCGGATTCGCAGAACTGCTGCTACGTAGGTAGGGTGTCTGAGACGAAATCTTTACGGAAGCACACTGCCTCTTCTTTCTCCCAAGGAGTGGCTGGTGGCTTGGAACCACTTACCTTATTTATAGTTAGTAGTCTAACACTTAGCCCGCTGGACCCCTACGGCTTCTTTCCCACCCCAGGGAGCGTGGGGAATCTGAGATTCTTGAGTGACAATGGTTCCTGAAATGTGGGGACATTTTGATGGGGCTCTGGAAGGGGGGATATCCAAACTCATGTCCAGTTGGGAGGCAGCCCAAACTTTCTTTTGGCCCCTTCTAAGTCTTCCAGCATCCTGCTCAAACCCAAGCCTCTGAAACTACCCACAGATCCCTGGGGACAGGGATCCTCTCATTGCTACAGAAAAAGGAATCTTTAGGTTGGATGCTGTAGTGAAAGACCAACCTGCTTCACCCCACCCAATACACACACACACACACGCACAAACACACACACAAACACACACACACGAACACACACAAACACACAAACACACACACATCTAGGTGCCTGTGGGTGGTATAAGAGATGAAGTAAAGATATATAAGTGAAGTTAAGTCTCCCAGGGCCTGGGGATGGAAGCAGAGGTTGGGGAGACAGTGAGTATTCGGGAAACCTTTTTCCAAGCTACAGCTATCTCAGGACCCAGTGAGAAGGTTTGGGGTGAAAAGACTTGTCCCTGAAAAGGGATCCCATAGATGAGGCATGTTCCCTTGGAGATTATGGGAAATAGGTGATTGGGTGTAGTTAGAGGGATAACGAACCATTGTCCTTGCCTCTGCCCCAGGACTGCAGCTGCCAGAATGGTTTCAGGAGCCCAAGTGTTCTACTTGCCTGTGGGCACTGAGCATCATTTCTTGGAGCTGGACGGGATCCTGAGCCTGCTGCAGAAGGACCTCAGGGGCCTGTTGGTGAGAAGGGAATAGGGCATAGCATAGGGACCCCATCCCTGCGGTCTAGCCTCAGCTACTCCTTCTATCTAGCACTTTTGCAGTCCCAGGCACCTCCTTCCTTTTGCCCTCCCCTCCCAGGACCCGTGGCAGGTACACATGCAGGACTGTGTCTGGGGTTCTGTGTGTACACACATGTCCACAGATTTGATCATCTCTCTGCTCTCTGGAGAATCCCAGATTCAGACTCTCAGTGTCAGCAGGACCCTGGGAGACCACTTGATCCAGCTCCCTCAAGGGTCAGACGGAAACTGGAGTGGACTATGCCCAGATCATTTAGAACTCAGTAGAGAATGCCAGCTCTTCCTCTGCCCCTGCCCCATCTTGCTCTTTCCCTTATCCCCATCCTCATCCTGTCTTAGGTCTCGACTTTGCTTTTTCATATCTTGAGCCTTTGGTGCTTGGATGATCCCAGGCCCTGAGCCTTCCCAGTTGTCCTGACAGATGAGCCATGGGAACCAGGTGGGGAGAGGCGGCATTGTACTCTGCCCTCTCCAAGTTCCCTGGATAAGTCACCCCAAGCCTTGGGGAAGAAGATACAGCCCACACATGGTCCAGATTCCAGGTCCTCTCTGCGACACAAGCTAAGATTCTGAGTTTGAGACCTTAGCCTCTTCCTTTTCAGAAAGTATCAGCCAAGGCTCCCCGTCCATCAGGCCGACCCCCAGGGGCGTCATGTCTGCGGTCTGGCATCTTTCTGTTCGTTCTCCTCCTCCAGACTGTGGGCTTCTTCGGCTACGTGCACTTCAGGTGAGCCTTCCCAAGGGCAGAACTTCCTACCCCTTCCCAGCTAGAGGAATGCAGGGAAAAGCAGTTAGAGGGGATCAGGGAATAGACCTGGAAGAAACATTTGATGCGGGTCATTGGGTGGCTAAGTGTTCTCCAGCCTGATAGGATAAGGAAAGGCCTAAATGCAGCAGAACAGCATGATAAAAGGCATGGAAGCATAAAAAACACCCCAGCATTTTGGAGAAACAGTGGCAAGTTCAGTACTCTTGGAGCAAAAGGTGGGACCAGTTTGTGAAACTGGGCAGAGTGCATTAAAAAGATGAAGGAGATAACTGTTGTGGTTTGGTGGGTGTTTATGGAATGAATGAAACATTTAGAGATTATGCAGTGGGCCTCAGAAAGGGGACTGGCAGTCCTTGTTGATGGAATTTCAAGACCAGAAGGATAATGTGGGCTGGGGTGGTCCTGGAGGAGAGGTGAAGTGTGCAGTTTGAAAAACAGGGAAAGAGAGAGAGTGGCCTTTCAGATGAGAACAGCAGAAGAATGTAGGATACCTGTGTATGTCAGAAGTGAGGTAAACAGGTTGGAGCAACCTGCACGTCAGGGAGGAAAGCATGGGTGTGATGCGGTAGGCCAGGGGGAAGTGCCAACGCAGAGGAGGCAGTTGTGCAGCTAATATGGGCAAACATTACTTAGTGTGGGAGGCTTAGCCTCAAAGGCTAGAAGGGAGAGGCCCAAGTAACCTTTCCATTTCCCTGGTAACAGGCAGGAGCTGGACAAGAGTTTTCAGGACTGTCTGTCCATAGGCAGTGTTCCTCTGGGTCCTGTACCACCTGTCCCCAGGGCTTTGGGGGTCCTGCGGAGACAGCCCGTCTCCCCCAGCACACATGCATGACCCACCTCAAAGCCTAGAAGAAATGCTCACTGCTCACTGAGAAGAAGACGGTGTCTGGGGGTTGGAGGACTTGACCAGTTGCGACTTCCAAGTGCCCTCTATTCCTCTCTCTCTGGGGTCCTACCTCCTACCCATGTCTTTCCCACCTTATTAAAGATAGCTTTCCCACCTTATTAAAGATAGATTTTCCTCTCGCTCTCTTCGATGTGCTCATTTAACTTTTGGAATCACCTGAATCTCTCTGAAGACTTCCACCTCCTCTGGGCAGGAAGCTAGGAGTGTCTCCAAATTGGCGAGAAGGCCAAAGGTCCCCTGATACCCAAGAGGCCAGATATTCCACATGGATCATGGGGAGACAGGGAGTAAGGAGGGAGGAGGGGTCCCAGCTGTGTATAATTCCTGGTGTAAGAAAAGCACTGGACTACTAACCACAAGGTCGGCAGTTTGAACCAATCAACAGCTCCTTGGAAACCTTATATAAGGCCTCTATGAGTTGGAACTGACTTGATGGCACATAACAACAATGACACATTCACCCAGAACTGAGAATGGTGTCTCCCAGTGCTCTTCCTCACTCATCTCTCCCTTTCCACTCACTCTGCAACTCCAAGGCAGCAGAGCAGGCACAAACTCATGGAATCTTATCATTGGGATTTCCACTCTGGCTCTCACCTGTCTCCCATTTCCTTAGCTATGGGGGCAGCAGGTTTGGGGAAAGAATAGGGTAGGGCCCAGTGTTGGTCCTTTTCTCCTTGTTGCTCTGGGATTTTCCAGGTGATATTCTGGCTCTGACCCATGAGAGGAGGAAGTGGGGGGAAAGTCGGAAGCACATTTCTAGGTGTTCTTTAGCACAGCCCCTTCCCCTGGGGGGGCATTATCTACCCCCCACCCCTGCAAGCGCTAATCCTCTGTCAGCAGTGACCCTCAAAGAGTGGTTGGAAGTAGGAGTCAGGAGGCGGGAGTGAGGAGCTGACACGTGGTTCAGCCTTCTCAGCCCCCATTAAGGAGGATTTGAGGAGGAGGGGGCAGGCTAGAGTGGGGGTGGGGTGGGCAGAGGACAGCGCCAAGCATGGGGCGCTGGCCAGCAGTAGGAGCTGTCCGCAAGATCCAGTGCTGAAGTAGGCACGAAAGTGCCCGGCTCGTGGTATCCGGTACCCGATGATCATGGCGTTCATGATGAAGACCATGGTGGGTGGCCTGCTGAAAAACCTCACCGGGAGTCTGGGGGCAGTGAGGACAAGGGGGACAGGGAGAAGTCGGCGGTTGAAACTCAGGGCATGACCAGAGAGGTGTATGAGGAATACCAGAAGCAACTGGTAGAAGAGAAGTAAGTGGGGACCCTTTCTGCCTCCAAAAATACCCCCCACAGACTTCTGGCCAGCCCCCAGTCCACCCTCAGGCCCCAAGCCCCCCTCTTCTCTTTTCCTAGATGCATTAAGGGGATAAGAGGTTAGGCCATGCCCTGTAGGCTGCCCCCAGCACTACGCCTTCTCAAACCCAGGACTCTGCTCCAGTTTTATACTGGGCCTAGAAGGAGCTCTGGTAGCGTAGTGGTTACAAATCGGGCTGCAAACCACAAGATCAGCAGTTCAAAACTACCAGCTGTTCTGCAGGAGAAAGATGAGGCTTTCTGCTCCTGTAAAGAATTACAGCCTCGGAAACCCTGTACAGCATCACTATGAGTCGGAACCGATTCCATGGCACATAACAACACCAACAACAGAGGGAGTGAGGACAGTGGCAACAGGGGCCTGGGGTGGCATTTTTGATGAAATCAGTAATCCTTTAATCCTCTCTGGCACCAGCTGCCTGGGTTTTCCAACTGAGGCTCCTCTAAGCCTCGGGTTCTGAGGAAAAAGATGCTGCTGAGGGGCACTAAGAGTCACCCAAACAGATTCTGAGATGAAAATATTCATAGACGTTGAACCTATTTGTATATTTGCTGTACTGGGACAGAGAGGCAGCTATTGTGCAGTTAGGGGCTGGAGTATGGAGCTAGGTTACTGGCTTTGCTTAGTAGCTGGGTGACTTTAGTTAGGCAAGTTACTTAATGTTTCTGTGTCTCAATATCCTCTTCTGTAAAATGAGGATTATAATCATAATTTGAAAATTTTAATAACGAATTTAAATAATTCTGAAAAAAGAAGTTGCCCTTGAGGGACTGCAGCTCACGGTGACCCTACATGTGTCAGAGTAAAGCTGTGTCCCACAGGGTCTTCAATGGCTGATTTCTCATAAGTAAATCACTAGATCTTGCTTCCAAGGTGCCTCTGAGTGCTCTGAAACCTTCAGTCTTTCAGTTAGCAGACAAATTCATTAGCCATTTGTGCCACCAGGGGGCTCCATAACACACACTTCATATACTTGTGAGGATTAAATGATTTAATGCATGTAAACTGCTTAACACAATGACTGGCACATGGCAAATCCTCAATCATTGTAAATCATTATTATTTAACCCTCATAACGGTCTTGTGAATTGCAAAACTTATTTACATTGGAGTCCTGGTGTGGTTCTGTGGGTTAATGCACTGGACTACAAAGCCACTTTGAACAGCAAGGTCGGCAGTTCCAGCTCACCAGCTGCTCCTCAGAAACCCTATACAGGGTTGCTATGCATTGGAACTGACTTGACTGTACTTAACAACAATCACATCCACATTTGATAGAAAAGGAATGAAAATGACTTACCCAAGGACATGCTGAAAGTGGTAGTGGAGCTAGGATGTGAAACCCAATTATTTCCTCCACACACACAGCCTGTCAGGAATGGGAAAAATAAGTAAGTTGGAGGTCATGAGGGACATATATTAGGGTCTGCATAGAATGTTACAGGCACAGATACTCCCCACCCAGTCAGCTTCATCCAGCTGATTTGGGGACCACAAGAGGGCTGTGATGGGAGTAGAGGCAGCAAAGACAGCTGGTGGTAGCCCTTAAAAGAGCGTTCTCCTGATGCTCTGGCCTATAGTATAGAGGGTTTCCTCCTGTGGTCAGGAGACAAAGAGCCCACCCCGTTGCCTCTAAAGTCCCTTCCCCTACTTCCTCACAAACCCTGCCCTGCCCTTGCTTCCTGTTTAACACCACACACACACACCCATGTGCTCCCGTAGGATGGAGCGGGATGCTCAGTTTACACACAGAAAAGCAGAAAGGGCCACGCTGTGAAGCCATTTTCGAGACAAATACCAGCTGCCCAAGGTAAGTGATCATCCTGAGCCTCAGGACTTGTCCACTGGGGAGGTTGCGGTTCTCAGGCGGTAAGTTTCACAGGGTGCTAAGTTCAACCTTTAGTTCTCTCATTCATTCATTCATTCATTCATTCACCCACTCTCAGTTAACTGGGGCCCATCAAATACCAGGTCATAGCTTGATGCCCAGGGGAAGCTAGTCCTCTGCAGGTCAAAAGGTTTGTACATCTTGAGCCAGGCCAGGCTCTTTCTTTCCTCCAGCCTCCTTGGTCAGGCCTGGGCAGATGAAGTCCAGAAAGGCCAAGGTGTTGAAGGGAATGAAAAGCAATAGATTGATTATACGGCAGGGTGAGTGCACTTGAGGCTTCTGAACACACAGGGAGTGTGGGGTAGGGGTGGGGGTAGAAGTAGCACCCTCTGAGTGCCAGGCATTTGACTTCACAGCCTCACCTACACCCCCCCACACACACACAAATAATATGGCCAAGTAGACATCACCCACTTCTATAAGTGAGGACATAGGCTCAGAGAGGTTAAAGGACTTGACTAAGGTCATTCAGCCACTGGATGGTGAAGCTAGGATGAAAGCTCAAGCCTGTGCACTTGTCTCAGGTTCCCAGGCTGTCTCCCAAGATATGGGGTCCAGGAGACCTCTGCTTGTATGCTCCCTTAAGTAGGGCAGCGTCAGACAGGCTTAAAAGTAGGAGTGCTGCTTCCATTGCCTCAGGAGGGAAACTGAGGCACAGCAACTCCCAGAGCATTACTGGTGATTCCAGAACTGTGCCAGACTCTGAGGGAAAACAGAAGTTCTGTGATACGCACTCCTGACCTTGACCTTCCACTTGAATTGAAGGATCAGCTATGTGGATATCACGTTCGTTCACTCAACAAATGTTTACTGAGGTCCTGGCTGCCTCTGTCTTTCCCCAAGGGCTCCAGTCTTTTTGGAAGTCTCTCAAAGGGAAACTGGTCCAGAAAGCCTTCCTTTCTGGAATGTTACCAAGTTGTATTCAGCTAGGAATGAAGTCAATCCTCAAATACCTGCTAAACACAATTCTGGCTATCAGGACACTCCGAGTCCAGTAGAAAAGAGAAGACTTGAAAGCAAATAAGTAGGAGACAAGGTGGAAAGTCTCAACCCCACTCCACCCCATCCTACCCCACCTCACCCTGCCCCAACCCCAGGGACAAGAAAACAAACAGTAGGTGCGCTACTGTGAAAGAGCATGGAATTAATGTTGGAATTAATGAGTTTAAATCTAGCTGCCTTACTTCCTAGTTATTTAACCTTGGACAAATTGTTGTTTTTACGTGTTTTGTTCTGTTGTGCATAAGGTCTCTATGAATAGGTGCTGATTCAATGGCACCATTTCAAGAGGTAGCATATGATTTCAAGCCAATGATACTGAATGAAGAAGTCCAAGGTGCATTGAAGGTGTTGGCAAAGAACAAGGCTCTGGGAATTGATGGAACACAAATTGAAATCTTTCAGCAAACTGATGTAGCACTGGAGGCACTCACTCAGCTATGCCAAGAAACTTAGAAGGCAACTACCTGGCCAACTGACTGGAAGAGATCCTTATTTGTGCCCATTCCAAAGAGAGGTGACCCAATGGAATGTGGAAGTCATTGGGCAATATCATTAATATTGTATGCAAGTAAAATAGTGCTAAATAAAAATAATACAAAAACGACTGCAAACATACATTGACAGAGAACTTTCAAAGGTTCAAGCTGGATTCAGAAGAAGACATAGAACAAGGAATATCATTGCTGATGTCACATGGATCTTGACAAAAAGTAGAGAATACCAGAAGGATGTTTACCTGTGCTTTATTGACTATGTAAAGGCTTTCAATTGTGTGGATCATGACAAGTTATGGACAACATTACAAAGTATGAGTATTCTGGAACACTTAAATGTGCTCATGAGGAACCTGTACATAGACCAAGAGGCAGTTGTGTGACCAGAACAAGGGCACATTGGATAGTTTAAAATTAGAAAACTTAGGTGCCAGGGTTGTCTTCTTTCACCATAGTTATTCAATCTGTATGCTGAGCAAATAATCCGAGAAACTGGATTATATGAGGAAAAATGTGGCATCAGGATTGGAGGAAGACTCATTAACAATGTGAGATATATAGATGATACAACCTTGCTTGCTGAAAGCAAAGAGGGCTTAATGATGAAAATTAAAGACAACAGCCTTCAGTATGGATTGCATCTCAATGTAAAGAAAACAAAAATCCTCACCACTGGACCAATAAACAACATCCATGTAAATGGAGAAAAGTTGTCAAAGACTTTATTTTGGGCAGATAAACCATCAACACTTGTGGAAGCAGAAATCAAAGAAATCAAATGACATAGACGTATTGCATTAGGCAGAGCTGCTGCACGAGACCTCTTTAAAGTGTTGAAGAGCAAAGACGTCAGTTTGAGGACTGATGTGCTATTTTCTAATCTATAGAAGTAATACCCACCTGGTGGCATAGTGGGTTACAAGTTGGGCTGCTAACCGCAAGTTCAGCAGTTCAAATCTACCAGCCTCTCTTCACGAGCAAGATGAAGCTTTCTGCTCCCATAAAGATTTACAGCCTCAAAAACCCTTACAGGGTCACTATGATTCGAACCAATGCGATGGCACACAACTACCAACCACCACCATAGGATTATTGTGTGTATGAAAAATACCCAGCTCAATACTGGGTGTATCCATCAGTATTATTGCTTACTTCCAGCAGTACGTTGTTGTTATGAGGAGCTGTCAAGTAATTTTTGACTCCTGGTGACCCCCTACAGCGGAGTAGAACTGCCCCACAGAAGATTCCTAGGCTGTAATCTTCTTAGGAGCAGATCACAAGGTCTTTCTCACACAGAGACGCTGTGTGGGTTAGAACCACCAGCCTTCTTCAGTTAATAGTCAGGTTTATAAACATTGCACCACCAGAACTCCTGCACTATGTTGTTGTTGTTAAGTGCCATCAAGTCGGTTGTGACCCATAGTGACCCTGTATAGGGTCTCCAAGGAGTGACTGGTGAGCTTGAACCACTGACCTTGTAGTTCAAATGGCTTTGCAGTCTGGCACATTAACCCACAGCACCACACCAGGACAGTTAAGGATAAATTGCACATGGCATTGATAGGAAGCCTTGGTGTGGCACTGTAGGATAAGCACTGAATTGCTAGCTTCAAGGTTGGGGGCTCAAACCCACCATCAGCTCCTTGGAAACGCTATACAGAGTGACTATGTGTCAGAACTGACTCGACAGAACTCAACATATGACAGTGACAGTGACTTGTAGGTATTTTCGTTTTGGGTTTACTGACTACGCTCATCCATTATTATCACCGGATGAAGGAGAGTGGTAAGAAAGTGTGAGGCCTTCATGTGTCAAGTGTCAAATGCTTGATCCTGGGATATGGAGGTAGGAGGTGAGCTCACAGGGAGGTGGGGATCAAGAAGCGAGTCCTGGCTTCCTCGTCACCTCTTCAACTATGGGTGCTTACAAACTTCCATGCCCTGTCTTATGGCCCTCCCGTCTTCCCTTCAGAATGAGACAGATGAGAGCCAGATACAGACGGCAGGTGGAGATGTGGAGCTGCCCTGGGAGCTGGCCAAGATGATTGAGTTGGACACAGAGGAGGAGAAGGCCTCGGTCCTCAGGCAGATGGCCAGCATCCCTGGCTTGGACCTTGGCTCACTCAAGTACAAGGCCCAGGCCACATTGGGGACCTCAAACAATCAGCCGAGAAGTGCCATATCATGTGACCACTTCCCCAGGGTTGTTCACTGGGGTAACCATGTGAGGAATAAGAGCATGTCTCTGTGTGCTGACAACTGGGGGGAACGGGGGCAGGTTTGCAGAGTATATATACTCTGTGGTTGGTTGATGATGCATGGAGGGGATTGTAACCATGGCAATGAAACAATATATGATAGGATGAATGTAAAACTAATGTTTCCCCAAGTAAACTATCACATAATTCACAATAAACCATTAAAAAAAGAGAACATGACTCAACTCCCAGGGACCCATGTCCGTCTTGGGCTTTGTTTTCCCACCCTGACCCTAGTATCCTTCCCACCCATGTCCCAAGCCTGTCTTCTGGTGCTCCGAGTCTCTTCACTGGGAGCAAAGCTTCCATTCCTCATGGTACCCCTCAAGGCTCCCAGTTGAATCTCGTGAGACCTTCCAAGATTATAGGACTAGGTCTTTTCCTTTCTGACTGTGACCCCAAATTCCTGGGCACAGGAGCATCCACATAGAGCCATGCAGAAGGATCAAAACTCTGGCATATACAAAGGCAGAAGCTATAGACACAGCCTTGGGCACACGCACACACACACACACAGAGGCAGCTCCTCTGGATGCCCAGCTCATCTAGACACCACATGCAGACACACTGAGAGGTGGCTTTGGAAGAACATGGGTCCTCACCAGACAGGAGTCCTGAATTTGAATCTCCAACTATCCTGACCTTGAAAACCACTGCTTTTTCCGGGCACCAATTCATCATCTGTAAGATGGAGATGGACTGGGTATTTCTAAGGCTCCTTGTAACTTGGCTTCCTGGGCCATATTCTTCCTTTCTCAGGCAGGGCAGCAGCTGCACCTACTGGGCTGCCAGTGTCTCCAATGTGGGCTCTGGCACTTGGGAGCTGAGTGACGCTGTGTGAGGGACCAAGTGCCAGGGATGAAGCTGGCACCGAACAGCAGCCCTGACAGTTCTGGGCCTTCTTTGGACCCGCGGCCCAGCCGACTTCTATTCTTGTAGAGAACTCTCTCTGAATTCCATAGCTGAAATCTCCTTTTCTAGCTCTTTCAAAAATAAAAACTCGAAATAATGTGCTTTATCTTCCCACATTTTACTGACCTCCAGGAGTTTGGGGGTTCACAGACCTCAATCCTACCCTTAAAGAGGTGTCTTCTACCTCTTCACCCACAGCTTCGTAGGAGAAAGGAGACACCCGACATTAGGTGTCAAAGTGCTTACTGTGAGAACCCCCCACTGTCCCAGTAAAAAACCCACTTATAGAGTTGATCTGACTTATAGAGACCCTACAGGGTAGAGTGGAGTCCTGGTGTGGCATTGTGGGTTAATGCACCAGACTGCAAAGCCTTTTGAACTGCAAGGTCAGCCTGCTCTACTTCCCCTGTGCCTACCCTCAGGGTCTCTGGGGATTTCAGGGGGATTTATAGCCAGCCTGAGCCTGTCCAGGGAGCTCCCAGGCCCTTTCTTCTGCCCTCCACCCACCCACAGCCAGCTCGGGGCTGCTTCCCAGGGGAAGGAGGGGCTGCAGAGAGAACAAGGGGCTTTCCTGAGGCCAGCTGGTCCCCAAGGAGGAGGTGGGAGGGTGACCAAGGTGCTGGGTAGATCTTCCTTCCCCCAGCAGCCATATGGTCCCTCCTTAGATACTGACAGCCCCAGGCAGGCACAGGGGACATGGGGAGGGCGGGGGAAGGGGGGGTCACTTGTTGAGCCTGAGCTCTGGTGCTATCTATTGGCCCAACTAACACACAGCCCTGCTGAGGCTAGCAGCTTCTGCCCTCTCTCTGCTCCTGGACCTGAGCTGACCTGAGCCCACTGACCTGCCTCCAGCCCAGGCCAAGTCATTCACAGACTCTCAGACTTGGGAGAGGAGCAAGGGAGCCAGGGTGGGCTGGGTCCAGAGAGGCAGCAGCATCACATCTGCCTCAGCCTTACTCAGCAAGAGTTGTGGGTGCGTGTGTATGAGAGAGAGAGAGAGAGAGACTGAGAGAGACTGAAAGAGAGAGACTGAGAGAGAGAGAGAGACTGAGAGAGACAGAGACAGAGAGAGAGAAACTGAGAGAGAGAGACAAAGAGACTGAGAGATACTGAGAGAGACTGAGAGAGAGAGACTGAGAGAGACTGAGAGAGAGAGACTGAGAGAGAGAGACTGAAAGAGAGAGAGAGACTGAGTGACTGAGAGAGAGAGACTGAGAGGAAGTTTGTGAGTGTCTGTATGGGTCTGTGAGCTCATACCAAAACAAAAAAATCAAACCTATTGCCACTGAGTCAATTTTGACTCATGGTGACCCTGTAAGACAGAGTTGCCCCAAAGGGTTTTGAAGGTTATAATCTTCAAAGGAGCTCTGGTAGCGTAGTGGTTACGAATTGGGCTGTGAACCTTAAGGTCAGCAGTTCGAAACTACCAGCTGCTCAGCGGGACAAAGACAAGGCTTTCTGCTCCCATAAAGATTTACAGCCTCGGAAACCCTGCACAGGGTCGCTATGGGTCGGAACCGACTCAATGGCACATAACAACAACAATCTTTCTGGGTGGTGACACAGGTTAATGTGTTAGACTGCAATGTCAGTTTGACTCACAATGTCGGCAGTTCAAGCTCACCAGCCACTCCCTGGAAATCCAATTCAGGGTCGCTATGAATCGGAACCAACTCTACGGCACTTAAGAACGACAACAATCTTTCTGGGAGCAGACTACATCTTGTCCCATGGAGTGGTGGGTGGGTTTGAATCAGATCTTTCAGTTAGCAGCATACATGGATTTAAATGTTTTTATATGTGTGTCTGTCAGTGTCTCTGTGTATGTCTGCAGGTCTTTGAGAGTATACATGGGCTGAGTCACCCTGGGGGAAGGGAGTTCTCTTCTCCAGTGGCCTAGTCTTAGCACAGGGCCATCTCCCTCTCAGGGAGGGCTGAGACGGCAGGCTGCCTTCTGGAGGCTTGATGGCCTCTTAGAGGAACCAAGGTTCGGTGTCCGTTTGCAAAAGATGCAGGCTGAGCACAGGACACCTGGGTCCCTCAATGGGCTCCGGCGCCCCTTTTACCACTCCCAAGCTTCAGGACACGCTCTAGGACCCTTGGGAGACAGAGCAGCCCCAGGCTCAGACACCACTCATAGCGTGACCCAGTGCTGATTCTGGGCTTGGGAGCCGAGTAGATTTGGGAGAACAGAGCAGGGTGGGGCACCCGGAATATTGCTGGTGGGCACCTGACCTGCTTTGGGCACTTTCAAAGTGTTGACAGTGAGATGGAAACAAGCTCCACATTGCCCCTGGGAGGAAAACATACAAGGGTTTCAAATTTTCATGGAGAAATTCCATTCTTTTGATTCCATTTTTCCATGAACTTTTTGAAACTCGTCTGCATTTCTTAAAAAGCCAATGTTGAGCATGTTTCCCATAGTTCTCTACAGTTAGGAGAGCTCTGTGGGGAGTGAGCCCTCACCCTCTTTCCCCCCAACCCTTGGCAAGTGACCTGGACTTAGAACCAGCCTGGAGGCCATCCCATTCCAAACTCCACCCAGAGAGGGCCCCACCTTAGTGAGTCCTCACCAGCCTCAGCTCCCTAGACCTTCCCTGCATTCAATCCCTCATGGACTCCACCCACTTCAGACCCCGTTCTCAACCAGTGAAATGTCACAAAGCATTGGGACTGTGGGCCAACCTCTATCCTGGCATCCTTCCACTCAACCCATCTTCCACGCTCTATCCTTCCTCATTCCCACACTCCATCACTCCCTGAGCCAGCTCCACTCACACACACACACACACACACACACACACACGCCTTTCCTTCACTGCACTTACTGAGGCCTTTCTATCCCACCTATTTCCAGATAATCTGATGTACGTTCCTCTAGAGATCTGAAAGCAACATTCTATGGAATTATACATTAGGCTCATATATCACTTAATCCTTATAGATTCTGACGTACTTAAGATTTTCATTTGCATTTTACAGAGGAAGTTGGGATTTCTCAGTAGGTCCCAAGCCTCATGGCCATTCTAAACCCAACCCAACCCACTGGCATTAAGACAATTCTGACATATCATCCCTCTATAGGGTTTCCAAGACTGTAAATCTCCATGGGAATAGAATGCCTCTTCCTTCTCTCCCAGAACAGCTAGGGGGTTTGAGCTGCCAACTATAGGATTAGCAATTCAGTGCCTATCCTACAGCACCACCACCTGGATATTCACCCTGGCAGCCAGCAACTCAGCCCTCTGGACCACTACGCCACACTGCCTCCTAGTGGTCAGACAAGACCTTCAAAGCTCCCGTTCCTTCTATAATCCCTTTTCTGTCTACAAGGTAGACTGGGCATCCTGGTGGCATCCGAGAAGTCTAGGGACCTTGGGCACAGGGTGGCTGCCTAGGATGTAGGCCCCCTCCCTGAAGCCCCCCAAAAGTGTAATTCTGACCCAGACCTGGAGTGTGGTAGTTAGTGGTGGTGTGGCATGTAAATGGTATGGGGCCTACTGGAAACCAGCCCAGTTTGGGGGCCCTGGGTATGAACACAAGACACCCCAAAGGATAGCCTCCCTACTTCAGCTGACTGCTCATCCCTGAGGTGGGAGCTGGGAGAGCCATACCCTAAGCACCCTTACATGGTGGGGAGGGATAGCAGCTGGTCAGCCTGACTCTCCCAACACCCCAGGACCTGAGGGCAGGCAGGAGGTGGGTGTGGCTACCACCCCACGACCCTCCCTCAGGTGACCCTGCTTTTTCTAAGAGCCCTCTGGCCCCCACCTCCTCAGGGTAAGAAGAGAAACACAAATATAGAAAATAATTTAATAAACAATGAATTACATTCTTTACATCCAACCTCCTGCAAGGAGAACTGACTTGCCCCAAGGAGCATTCAAGGGCAGAAGGCTTAGAAGACACCAAAGGCCCTGTTCTCTTAGAAGCCGCCCCAGCTACCCTCAGGTATGAACATTCTGCTCCCAACTACACACACTCTGTTCTCTGAAAGTCCACGCTGTGGGGTGGAGAGGG